CCCACTCTTATAGCCATATAAATTCAGCGGCGAGTCCAAATCAGTTTCTAGTCAATTGTAACCTCCAGGAGGTTGATAATGGGAGATTCAGTGATGATAATGCCATTGAATATCAAGGGGCGGCAGTTAGATGGTATCTTATTGGAAATTATCTTACGTGGCATTTTTGTGGCATGCATGTTACTTACCAATTTTCAGCCCAAGCCTGGACACTGCCCAGGTCTTTTTGCATTTGGAAATGGACTACTTCAATATATGAGCAGTCCAAAACCATCTTCCTATATACCAAGTATGATTCTAACTCACAGAGAGCTTTACCCCAAATCCCCTGGATTCCAGTTTTGCAAGGGCTCTTTGATGCCACACTCGGTCAAATGCGGCCTTGATGTCAAGGGATGTCACTCTTACTTCACCTCCAGTATTCAGCTTTTTTGTTGATGTTTGAATCAAGGTTGTAATAAGGTCAGGAGCTGAGCAGGCCTAGTGGAAAACAACCTGGGCATGAGTGAGCAGGTTGTTACATAGCAGGTCCTGCTTAAAAACACTGTTGATGACACTCTGTATCATTTAACTGATGATCAAGAGTAAACTGATGGGTGGTAAGTGGCCAGATTGGATTTGTCCTATTTTTTGTTCACAGGACGTACCTGGGCAATTTTCCACATTGTTGGGTAGATGCCAGTGTTGTAACTCTGCTGGAACAGCTTGACTAGGGGTGCAGCACGTCCTGGAGGACAAGTCTCTAGTACTACTTCTGAAACGTGGTCAGGGTCCATAGCCTTTGCAGCATCCAGTGTTTCCAACATAGTGCCCTGATGTCACGTGGAGTACGTCAAATTGGCTGATGACTAGCATCTGTGATGCTGGGGACCCCTAGGAGGCAGAGATGGATCATCCACTCAACACATTTGGCTGATGATTGTTGTGAATACTTCAGCCTTATCTTTTGCACTGATGCACTGGGTTCTTCCATTATGGAGGACAGAGATATTTGTGGAGCCTCCTCCTCCAGTGAGTTGTTTAATTGTCCACTACAATTCATGACTGGACATGGCAAGACCGCAGAGTTTAGATCTGCTCATTGGTTGTGGGATCATTTAGCTTCCTCTATTACTTGCTGCTTTGGCATACAAATAGTCCTATTTTGTAGATTCACCAGGTTGACATCTCATTTTTAAGGATACCTGATGCTACTCCTGACATGCCCTCCTCACTCTCCATTTTACCAGGGTTGATCCCCTGGCTTGCTGGTGATGGTCGAGTGGGTGATATGCCAGGCCATGAGGTTTCAGACTGTATTGGAATATGGTTCTGCCGCTGTTGATGGCCACAGAATCTCATAGATGCCCAGTTTTGAGTTGCTAGATGTGTTTAAGATCTGTCCCATTTGATGCAGTGATTGTGCCACACAATACAACACAGGGATTCTCAATGGGAAGGCTGGATTTTGTTTCCAAAAGGAGTGTGCAGTAGTCACTCTTACCGAATCTGCAGCAGGCAAATTTGAGATGGTGAGGACAAGTATGTTTTTCCCTCTTCCCTCCCTGACCCAGTCTAGCAGCTATGTCCTAAAGGACATGACCAGGGCAGCTGCCAAGCCACTCTTAGTGGCGGACATTGACATCCTCCACACAGAGTGCATTCTGCAACCTTTCCACCCTCAGTGCCTCCTCCATTGTTTGTTCAACATGGAGGAATACTGATTCATCAACTGAGGAAAGATAGAACGTGGTAATCAGCAAGAGGTTTCCTTACTTTGGCCTGATGCCATGAGACTTCATGGGGTCCACAGTCAATGTTGAGGGTTGCCAGGGCAACTCCCTTCCAACTGCATATTACCATGCTGCTGAGTCTGTCCTGTCATTAGAACAGGACATATTGAGGGACGGTGATTTCTGGTCCATAGTCATACTCACAGAATCAGACCTTACAGACAATGTCAGATTGTTGCTTGACTAGTCCGAGAGACAGCTCTGCCAATTTTGGCACCAGCCACCAGATGTTAGCAAGGAGGACTCTGCAGGGTCAATAGGGCTGTTTAGCCATTGTTGTTTCCAGTGCTTTGGTCAATGTCAGGTGGCCCATCCAGATTCATTTCTTTGTTAAACTTCATAGCAATTGCTCCTACTGAGTGGCTTGTTAGGCTACTTCAGAGGACAGTTAAGAGTCAACTACATTGCTGTGGGGCTGCAGTCACATGTATGCCAGACCAGGTTTGATGAGTTTCCTTCGTTGAAGCACGTTGGTGAACCAGATGGGCTTTTTCAATAATTGCCTAGATCATCATTAGACTGTCATGGTCATTTTTAGACTCTTAATTCCAGATATTTATTGAATTCAATCTGCCATGGTAGAATTCAAATCTGGATCCCCAAAACATTAACTGAGTTTCTGGATTAATAATGTAGCAATAATACCATTAGGTCATTGCCTCTCTGCTTGTTTGAAGAGCTGATGCAGGCACTCCTTCTGCACCATAATAGTTTTGGCGTTTCTGTGAATTGCTGGAACCCACAACTGCACGGTTCACAATACGTATGAAATTCCTTACTTTCAAGGCATGCAGGCATTCCTTTCAAATCCATGGGCTTCTCTCATTTCAGTCCACAGTTTTAAGAAGCACAAAAATAAAAAAAAACACGATCTTTATAAGATAATAGCATTATAAATTAATATTTTGGACATCTTTGTAATTTGTGAACAAGAGACTCCAACCCCAACATAATGTTTTATGCAAAGTTTGTACTTTCACACTTCAATCTTGTGTATGCCTCATAGAATGCTCCTTTATACGCACTCAACTACAATCAGGTATCATAACCTAGACAGACAGACAGGGTGATTCCAGCAGTTTATTCAGCTGCTATCTTTCACACTCAGATGTCAACATTAGAAAATACACTGCAAAGATGTAATATCTTCTTTACTGGAGATCTCCATGGGACTCCACAGATTCATTACACGAAGTCAAACCAAAGAACCTTGCACTATGTTCAAATGCTCCGAAGGTTGCTGTAGGAGTGTCAAATAGCTAGCTTTACCGGTTACTTGATTGTTTGAGTGTAATTCGAAGACCATTTGATATATATTTAACACTTTTCTGATCCAAACATGGCCACCTTAGGACCATTTGCGAATATGTATGATACACAGCAAGCAATGCTTTGAACGGGGTAGCCATCACCCTGCAAGAGTATTCTGACATGCCCTATTTCAGTGCCAGAGTGGCTCACATATGGCTACTAGAAGCTACACATATTCATATACAGGAACCAGTTCTCCACTGGAAAAAAAAAAGAACAAGCCCTTTTGGAATTAGCAAAAATTTGGAGCCAATAGCACTTTGGCATATTTTGTATGACCTTCAACAGCTGGTCCCTCTTCCTACAATAATCTCGTTAAATTAGAGAGGGAGTGGGGTAAGGGGAATAGGAAAGTAAGGGGCAACAGCCCAAATTCACAAGTAGACCTAAATGATGCAACAGAAACCATAAAATGTTTACCAAGACTTTACTATTCATACAAACTTTAATTAAAGGAAGATGGACTTTGAAGACAAAAGTGGCTACTGGAATTTCTGCACAACCCTTCATTTTGGCCTCGCAGAAATAAAATATGGCAATGCACAAAGGAAAAGCATATAAGGATTTAATTAACTATTCCTTTCTAAAGTCATTTATCACAAGTTTCGGTCAGTCAATCATACCCCTCGAGCTCAGTTCAGTCTCACAAGTATGCCTTTTCACTAGATAATGCACAAACCCACACATTCAAAAATCAGGCTTTTCAGCACTAATTTGTGACATCTTGTCAGAACAGTCTTATCCTAGAAAGCAAAGATAATCCCCTACTTATTTTCTTCTCTCATTTATTATCTTATGTTATATCTCATTTTCACTGTCTCACTCCCTTATCCCTTGCTCTTTCTACCTACTTGACAGGAAAACAGATTTTTGAGACTACAATTCAAGTTGTCTTTTTCGTTTTATGCTATCCTCTTGCCACCATCCAGGCAACTCCTTCCAAGTCCTGAACACAGGTCTTCCCCAGATTTCTTTCCCAGTTCCCATCAACCACTCTGAGGGGATCTGATCCACAAGACTGACCTTATGCTCCTTAAGTTCCAATATTCTTCTAAGTCCCATTGTACCTGACATTGTAAATGGCTCCCACCTCTCCATTTTAAATTCATCATAGCCCTTTATTCAAAGGAAAATAAAAATCTACCCTTGATCTCTTTATCCTTACGGGCTGCTATTCCACTTTCAACTTCACTTTTCTTTTCTAAAAGTCTTGAACTTATTGCTGCTCAAATTGTGCCCATTTTGCCAACAACATTCCCAAATTAGATTTTGTTCTTTGCCACAACATTGAAAATAGCCCTAACCAAAGTCAGAAATTACATTTTTTTCTATACTATATAGTGGATCATTCCTCATTCTCTGAAGTTTTAATACAAAACAAGCAAACCCCTCCAAAATCTCTCATTATCCAGCTCAGACAGATCTCCCTCACTTGGTTTCAGTCCTACTCATCCTATTGTGGCCACAGAATCTCCAGCACATTTTTTTATTCTATATCCTTCAGTAAAGGTCTACCATTGCTCCCCTCCTATCTGTGCTGAATTTGGACAATGACATCCACAGCCATCGGCTCAGCTTTCTCACATGAACAGTTGTAATGTACAGCTCCACCACTCAAGGGGGTATGATTGATGTCCTTTCAACTCATTCCTAATGGATAAGCAATTTGAATTCAATACATTTGGAGAATGTCTGGAAGGCAATGTTACAAAAGCATAAACACCAGCACAAACCACTTTGGTCGCATGGATTCTCCTATGCTGTACATTCTTCCTTATTCTATATAAATTTAGCTGAAAATAGTTATGAGGCCAGTTACACCACAGGATGTACTAAGAACTGAACAGAACTGCAAATAGCACAAAGAATTAAAGTTACAGGGGGTAATAATAAATGGATTACTAGGTTGCTTCTCACCAGGCAAGAATGGGATGCAACGCAATTTAGGATCCTTCTGTCCTCCTTCAACAGGAAACTTGTCCAGAAGCTGCATCTAAAAAAAGAACAGGTATGAATGCATAATGTTCATTACGCATATAGAAGTGTAGCTCTTTTACTTTTTTGTTACAAATAATGATCCAATTTCCCTGAAAGAAAGCTATGAAATGTGCTTCAACTATTCAGTGGAAAAGCCTTTAGGTTTTCTTTTTAATGAATTACTGGATCACATTCTCACTTCAGACCATTTTTCTTAGGCTTAACTTAGATTTTTCCAGTAACTTCCGGCAGGTCACCTACACTCCATAAATTCTAGCTAATCACATCTTATCCCATTCTTGCTGACTTACATTTGCCCAAGCTAACCGACATAATTGAATTTCAAATCTGTATCTTGGATTTTTTTAAAAAACTGATGTATTTTTCAAATCAACCTGTTCAGAGATGTTATTACACACCTCTGGAGCTGGTGGGCCTTGATCTCAGGCCTCCCAATCCAGAGGTAGGGATACTACTTCAAGAAGGCCTCCAGTAATTGTCTTAATCATTAATCATCTGATTCTAATTCTGGAACTTATTTCAACACTGTCTTTCTGCTGCACAGTTAAGTACTCCACCTTTGTGGACTTCACTTTGGTATGACTCTGGGAGTAGCAGACCTCTATTTACAGTGCATTGCTCCAGTACGTCATAATATTATGCACGTTACTTCTTTAAACAATGACAATAAGTTAGTTAAACCATGATTTCCTTTTCATAAAAATATATCAATTCTGCTTGATTACCTTGAATTTTCTCAAGTTCTCTATGTCTTAACAATACTTTTAACATCTTTCCCATGACAGACGTTAAGTTAACTGATCTGTAATTTCTCACTTTGTCTCCCTCTCCACTTTTTGAATAAATATGTTGTTGTTACTTGCACAGGATTTCTGGTCTCTGACCAACTCTTGTAGCTTGCAGTATTTTTGCATTGGCAGACTTTGACTATTTGAGTACAGCAAGGATGTATTTAGGACCATATTGTTGTCATTACATTTAGACCCCTTGTCCAAATCAATGTTTCCACATTTGCAGATGATACAAAGCTAAGCAGGAACCTGTTGCATGAGGAAGATGTAAAACCTTTTCGGGAAGGTTTGGACAAGCTTGGTCATTGGTCAAGAACATGGCAGATGGAATGTAGTGTGGAAAAATGCAAGGTTATCATTTTAGTAGAAAGAAAAGATGTACAGAGTATTTTTTAAAATGGAGAGGATGGAAAGCCCAGACATAAAGGGACTTGGGTGTCTCATCGATATGTCACTGAAGGTTAACATGCAGAGGCAGCAAGCTATTAGAAAGGCCAACAGCCTTTATTGCAAGCAGGTGAGAGTACAGAAGTAGTGAAGTCTATGTATAGGCACATGGCCAGACCGCACTTGAAGTACTGTGTGCAGTTTTGCTGGCCTTACCTTAGGAAGGACAGTATTGCTATAGAGTGTGCAAGAAAGGCTCACTAGACTTGTTTGCAGGATGGCAGAATTGTCCTATGAAGAGAGATTGGGAATCTGAAATTGTAGAGAATACAAGCCCAAAGAATTAGGGGTGATCTCATTAAAATCTACAAAATACTTAAAAGGGTGAGACAGGGTTGATGCAGGTAAGATGCTTCCCAGGTGGAGGAAATCTAGATCCAGAGGGCACAATTTATAAATAATAGGAGGGATGCCATCTAGGACTGAGATGAGGAGAATTTTATTTTACTCAGACAGTGATGAATCTTTGAAATCTCTCCCTCAGCAGGCTGTGGAAACCCAGTCTTTGAGTATATTTAAAATATGGTTGATTAACGTTTGATATCAATGGTGCAAAGGATTATGGGAATGAGGTATGTAAAAGTTATTGAAATGTTTGATCCACCATGATCACATTACATAGTTCAGCAGGCTCAACAGGCTGAAAGGCCTATTCCTGTCCCCATGTTTCTATTAACATATATAGTCTAGTTCAGTTTTTGGTCAACAGTGAAGGATTCAGCAATGGCAATCCTATTGAATGTGAAGGCGAGATGCTTAGATTTTCCTATTGGACTTGGTCATTTCAGTTTGGACATGGATGGTTTCAGTCTCTGAGGAGTCATGAATGGTACTGAACATTGTTCAATCAGCAAAGATCCCCATTTCTGACCTTACAATGGAAGGAAGGTTGATCTTAACTGTTCTGCCTGTGAGATTCACACGCTAATCATTGCATTATGGAGTACATGGATTGCCATTTCTTTTCCTAATGTGTAGTTCTTCTATTTAATCGATATTAAATTTTATGCATTTTTCTGGTCACCTCTTCACTTTGTAATTTGTAGCCTCCAATTCAGCCAATTTTTCTACTTTAGCACAAACTGCAAATTTGACGAATAAGTGTACACTTTACAGAAGTAATTGACCCTATTAAATGTCAAAGACAATGCATCTACCAACAAGGCTCAATGAACTCAAACTCAAAATGCTACTGCCCAATGAGAAAAATGCCCACACTTTTCCTTAGCTGCCAATGTAATGAAATGCATTAATCAGAAAAAAATCCTTGTTGTTAAAGTAGTTGAGAAATGAGTTGTATGCCCTCTAAAAACTAAAATGCAAACAGTGACCACTGTCAGTCTGAGAAAATGCAGGTGCCAACAACTCTGCATTAGTTAGGAATGAAGTAAAATGAAACTGAGCATTACCTGGAGGTCGAAAAACTTGCTATAACGTCGGTAGATGATACTTGATGTGTTATCGGACCAGTTTACTTGGATAACATAAACCTTTAAAAAGTAAAGAAATTTTTAAAATAAGTGTATTTGCTTCCTTACACAGTTCTACAATAGCCTGGAAACACATTTTCACAGAACATTTCAATCGCCATAGTCCTACCAGACTATAGGGCTGTTCTGTCATTAGTCAGGGATGACTGGAAGCTGTTTACCCAAAAGTCACCATGCCTCAGGTGAGGCGAGAGGTAGAAGAGGAGAGTCTTCTTGGTAACCCCAGCCTGTACAGAAAATGAACTCCTGCTGTTGGAGTCATTGCATTGCAAACTAGCTGTTCTGAATTAGAGTACACAGATTCACTGTTCAAAATTGTTCAAACATCAGGACATCAAGCCATTTAGAACAGAGTAGGAGAAATATCTTCACTCGGGTGGTGAATCCTTAGAATTCTCTACCCTGAAGGGTCACAGAGTCTGTTCAAGACAGAGATTTCTAGATGTTAAAGAGATCAGGAATATAGTGAATGCGTACAGGATGGAGTTAAGGTACCTCAACCATTGTGGTTGAAAGGTAAAGTGGGCCCAAGACGGCCAAATAGCCTACTTCTCAGCATGACATTTTTGTACCAATGCCGGACTCCACTCATTGGTACATAAAGTAGAACAACATTTTTGCAAATAATACTTCCAGCAATATTCACAAACTTGTTATACAATTTACACAAACATCCACTATCTTAAAAAGTTGAAACCAACGTAACAATGATAGTTGGTCTACTAAAATAATTTAAGACCAACATAACATCAATATGGCCTTGGATCAAGAAATGAAAGAGGTGAAAGACTGATACAATTTTGTGAAGAAAAAGAATTTATTGTGGAAAACAAAGATCAAAGATCAATATATATTTAGAGAAGTTCAAACACTGATGTGAAATACTCATTCAGTATCTCCCCTATTTCCTGTGGTTCCACACATAGGCGGCCTTGCTAATCTTTAAGGGGCCCAATTCTCTCCCTAGTTACTCTCTTGTCCCCTATGTATTTGCAGAATCCTTTCAGATTCTCTTTAATCCTATTTGCCAAAGCTACCTCGTGTCCCCTTCTGCCTCCTCCGGATTTCCCTTAAATATACTCCTATTGGGATTCACTCAGTCCCTTCTGTCTATTACTGACATTTGCTTCCTTTTTCTTGAGCAGAACCTCAATTCCACTAATCATCCAGCACTTCCTACTCCTACTAGCCTTACTGTTCACTCTACATACTGTCTCTGGACTTTATGACTAAGTTCAGGCAGTGTATTTACAAACTAAACAGATTATGCGGTGGTGAAATAATATTTTAGAAACATTAAAAAAAATCTTTCATACACATCTTGGCACAGAAGTAAATTCAGATTTTTCCAGTCAATCCTGGCAAAAATTAAGTTGAAACAGAGATTATGAAAAATAAAAAGAAAAATAAACACAAAGAACTACGGATACTGGAAATCTGAAACAAAAACAAAGTACTGAGAAACACTGGAATTATGGCAGCATCTGTAGAGAAAAAGTTAACATTGAGTCATTTCTAATGAAGGGTCACCAGATTCAAAGTGTTAATTTTAGTTTTCTCTCTGCAGATGCAGTCAGACCTGCAGTCTGTTTTTGTTATCAAGAAGAAAGATGTACAAATATTTAGACTTTGACATGCTTCAGATTAAAAATAGAGAGAGGCATTCACTCAAAGTGAAAACCTAAGCATGAATGTCTCAAGATTCAGGAATCTAAAGAAACAGTTCTCAGAAGAAATGGAAAGCAAACAGGAACATATAAAAAGAAGAGTATGCACAATATTGCAAAGAAAATATTAAAACTGGAGGACAGAAGTTGATAAACTAGCAATGATGATAGAAAAGAGACAGACACGCTAAAGTACTGTATGAGGAAACTGAAAAGAAAATAAAAAGGTTGCATTTGGCAAGCTGAAGGGAGGCAATAGCCTAGTGGTATTATCACTGGAATGTTAATCCAGAGACCCAGATAAAAGGTCTGAAGACCGATGTTAGAATCCTGCCATGGTAGATCGTGAAACTTGAATGATGGAATAAAGAATCTAAATGATGACCACTGTCAAAATTTAGGAAAGGAAACTGCCATTCTTACCTGGTTGGCCTACAGGTGACCGCAAACCCACAGCAATGTGATTGATTCTTAATTGGGGAATTAGGAATGGGCAATAATTGTTGGCATAGCCAGCAATGCCCTCATCCCATGAGGGAATAAAAACAAACTGAAGTTGATAGTAAATACAGAAATTAGGAGCAACAACAATTCAACCTTTCAATATGATCATGGCTGAGCCTCTAAGTCAATGCCAAATTCCTGACTTCTCTCCATACTCCTTGATTCTTTTTGACATATTTTTCAGATATTAATCTCTTTCTTGAATATAGTCAGTTATCCAGCTTCCATAGTCTTCTATGGCTGTGAATTCCACAGGGTGAGCACTGAGTAAAGAAATGTTTCCTCATCACCATCCTGAACAGTCTAAACTGTATCCTGCAACGGTGAATCCCTGGATCTAAATTCCCCAAACAGGGGAAACATCCTCCTTGTTATCTAGTGTCTAGCCTAGTTAGACTTTTATACATTTCAATCAGGTCCTCTCATCTTCTAAACTCTAGTGAATAGGGGCCCAGTCAAACCAATCTCTCATCGGATTTTCCTGACGTACGTATGCTTGCCGAGGAGATGAAAGGTGAATGTAATATTCCAGGTATTAACTCATCAAGGCCCTATATAACTGCAGTAAGTCATCCCTACTTCTGAATGCAAAACCTGTTACAATGAAGGCCAAAATACCAATTGCCATGTTAAATGCCTGCCTGTTCACTTAGTAACTGATGTACAAGGACTCCGAGATCCCTTTTTACATCTACATTTCCCAATATTAACATTTAACTAACACTTTGTTTTTCACACAATAAAAGTGCAATCTCTTCACAATTATCCATGACACATTGCATCTGCCATGTGTTTGCCAATAGACTCAACTTATCTAGATGGTCCTGAAGGCAACATTTATATCCATGTTACAACACTCAATCCCACCTAATTTTGTATCAGCAAACCTGGGAATGTTGTATTTGATTCCACCATTCAGGTCTTGAACAGATTGTGAACAAGCCCAAGCACCAATCCCTACAATATACTAATCACTATTTGCCACATAGAAAAAGACATGCAATTGCCAATTCATATCAGGATAACAAACTTTTGCAGAACAATCCCAGTGTTCCCTAGCCATAAACCTTGAATGAACCAGGAAATCCACTCCCTACTGAAGATCAGGCGAGCAGCGTTAAAGTCAGATGATCCAATACAAGGAATCCAGATATGACCTTCGCAAAACCATCAGGGATGCCAAGAGGCAGTACCGGACCAGGTTAGAGGCCCAAGCCTACCAAACAGACTCCCGCCATCTATGGCGAGGCCTAAACAACATTACAGGATACAAAATGAAGCAGAGCAAGACAGTGAACAAAGGCACATCCCTCCCTAATGCACTCAACGCTTTGTATGCCTAGTTTGAGCAGAATGCCAGCAGCACGGTGATGCCTGCCCCAACACCCCCAGACACACCTGTTCCCTCAGTCACCATTGCAGATGTCAGATTGGTCTTCCTGGGAGTCAACCCTAGGAAAGCGACAGGCCCACATGGTGACTCCGGCCAAGCACTCAGATCCTGCGTGGACTAACTGGCAGGGGTATTCACCGACATCTTCAACCTCTCCCTCCTACAAGCCGAAGTCCCACCTGCTTCAAGAAGACCATCATTATCCCCATACCTAAGAAAGCACATGCAATATGCCTTAATGACTAACGTCCAGTGGCTCTGATTTCAATAATCATGGTCATGGCCCACATCAACTCCAGTCTCCCAGGCTGCCTCGATCCCCTACAATTTGCCTACTAACATAACAGATCCACAGCAGATGCCATATGCCTAGCCCTGCACTCATCCTTGGAACATCTGGACAACAAAGACACATATGTCAGACTCCAGACTATAGCTCCGCCTTCAATGTCTTTATTATCTCCAGACTGATCTCAAAACTCCATGAGCTTGGTCTCACTCCAACTTCTGCAATTAGATCCTCTGCTTTCCGACACACAGACCACAATCAGTAATGATAGGCAACTGCACCTCCTCCACGATAACACTCACCACTGGAGCCCCTGCCAAAGATGCATATTCTGCCTCTGACAGTACTTTCTGTACAGCCACAACTGTGTTGCCAAACTCTGAATGAACGCCATCCTCAAGTTCACCGATGACACCACTGTAGTGGGACGGATATCTAACAGCAATGAGTCAAAACACAGAAGGGAGACAGAGAACTTGGTGACATGGTTCAATGAAAATAACCTGTATCTCAAAGTCGGAAGAACTAAAAGAACTGATCACTGACTTCACAAAGAAAAGGAGGAAAACATGCCACCATCTACATCCACGGAGCTAAGGTTGAGGGGGCTTGAGTGTGTCAAGCTCCCAGGAGTGACGATAGCCGACAACCTGTCCTGGACTTCCCATGTAGATGCGACAGTCAAGAAGACACAACACCTCTTCTTCCTCAGCGGGTTCAGCAAATTTGGCATATCCACAAGGACCCTCACCAACTTTTATAGATGCACAATTGAAAGCATACTGTTCGGGAGCATAACAGGCTGGTACGGTAGCTGCTCTGCCCAGGACCATAAGAAACTACAGAAGGTATTCTGCACAGCCCAGATCATCACGGAAGCCAACCATCCATCCATGGACTTCATTTACATGGCTCACTGCCGCAGAAAGGCTGCCAACATTAGAGACGCATCCCACCCTGGTAATGATCTCCTACAAACTCTTCTGTCAGGCAGAAGATACAGAAGCCTGAACACACACTAGCAGGTTCAGGAACAGCTTCTTCCTGGCTGTTATTAGACTGTTGAATAGACACTCTAGCCTCAAATAACACTGATCTTGCCAATGTTGTTCTCACCTAGCACAACACTGTGCAATGTAACCTGTAT